ACCACTACTAATACTACTACTACTACGATTACGGCTACGACTACGACCACGACTACTACTATTACTTCTACTACTACTACTACGACTACTACTACGACTACTACTAACACGACGACTACGACTTCTACTACTACTACTATTACTATCAGTAGTACTCCTACTACTACTACTACTTATACTACTACTACTACTACTACGATTACGACTACGACTACTACTACCACTGCTACTACTACTACTACTACTACTGCTACTATCTACTACCACTACTAGTACCACTACTACTACTACTATTTTTACTACTACTACTACTACTACTACTACGACTACTACTACTACTACGACTACTACTACGACTACTTCTACTACTACTACTACTACTATTACTACTACTACTACTATTACTACTACTACCCATACTACTCTACTACTACTACTACTACTACGACCTCTACTACTACGACTACTACTACTACTACTACCGACTACTCTACTACTACACTACTAAACTGCTGCTACTACTACCACTATACTACTCTACTATAGTAGTAAGTGCTTACTACTACTACTACGACTACGACTACTACTACCTACTACTAACTACTACTACTACTACTACTACTACTACTAATACTACTACTACTACTACTACTACTACTACTACGACTAGACGACTACGACTACGACTACGACTACGACATGACTACGACTGCTACTATACTACTAACTACTACTACTACTACTACTACTACTACTACTACTACTACTACTACTACTACTACTACTACTACTACTACTACTACTACTACTACTACTACTACTACGACTACTACGAGACTACTACTACTACTACGACTACGACTACTACGACTACTACGACTACTACTACTACTACTACTACTACTACTACTACTACTACTACTACTACTACTACTACTACTATTTCTCCTTCCACCCCGCCCCCTTGCCCCCATCGGTCCTCTCCGCGTGCCCCTCCCCCCAATCCCGTCTTGCCCCTGCAGTAGGAGGGGGAGAGGAGGGATGCCTCCTCCTGCCCGCCCCCCTCGGAGGAAGAGGAGGAGGAGGACCGGTGCAAGCCCAAGACTCATTAACGATGTTGGAATCAACCCTCCCTCCAAGCTCCCTCTTCACAAGCCCCTGCAAAGGTTCATGTCCACTGGGGGAAGTGCCCCGCTGGGAGACAACCGTTTGAAGGTCCTGAAGCTTGCCAAAACACACTTCTGGAAACTTCAACGCCACGAATCAACCTGACTGGTGCCTTTTGACGGCCCTGAATCGCGCGAGAACGCCACTCCTGCAGGGGATTCGGCACAGCGAATCAACGTGACTGTTGCGCTTTGCCAGTCCTGAATCGCTCCAAAGCACGATTTCTGGTACGCTCACTTTGAGAATCCGTGAAACTCCTAGAATGTTTGAAAACGAATGCGCCCGGCGCTAAGGCGAGAGCCACATGTTGAAAACAACCCGCCCTCAATACGTGAAACTGTTTCCATGTCATAAGCTTCAGGGTCATAGATGGTGAGGAAGTCTCAGGAGAAACGCTCGGCCCGCCCTTTCGACCAGCCTCGGGTGCGACAGGGAGGAGTTATGTTTAAGGAAAAGAAATGGAGGAAGAGGAGGAGGAGGAGCAGGAGGAGGAGGCCCCCTTCCTGGAGGCACAGCCGAGGCCTCCCGCAGAGGCACCCCTCGGCCACACCTCCATTGGGGGGCAACGTTCGTGGAGGGGGAGGAGGAGAGGGAGGAGGAGGAAAAGGAGGAGAAGGAGGACGAGAACGACGTCCGCCTTCTTGGCGACGTCCTCAGCGAGGGAGGATGAGCAGGGCAAGGAGCCGGAGCAGGATAAGGCGTAGGGCAGGCAGGGAGTCGGGGCGACGCTGGGGAGGAGAGGCTCCGGCCGCCGAAGCTTCGAGGTTCGAGGGTTGGCGTGTCGGAAATGTTCGTTGTTCTCGGCGTCTTTCCAGCTCTGGGATGCTTTCCAACGGCTGCGCCTCGCGGAGGGCGTTCCAGAGAGTCCCGAACGGCCGCCGGAGGCCCGAACGATGTCCCGAAAACCACCAGGCGGAGGCTCAGACCTCCCACGCATCGGGAAATTCAATTTAGGTTTTTTTGCACCGCTTTCGACCACCAGGGTCCTTCGCCTCCTCCTCCTCCCTCCTCCTCCTCCTCCTCCTCCTCCTCCTCCTCCTCCTCCTCCTCCTCCTCCTCCAGCGCCTCGCGTTGTGACAAGAAATTGCGACGGAGGGTTTCTGCCGCTTGGCGGTGTTTTTCGCTTGGAGCCCGCTGGGAGTCCAAGGTGGCCCAGCACTGGCTCCGTCCAGAAGACAGGGGGGTCGAGGTAGGGGGCCACATGCGAACCCTACCCCTACCCCCCACGACTTCTAAGGGGGAGGGTGGGGTTCGAAGCGAAGTGAACCCCACCCTCCCCCTTAGAAGTCGTGGGGGGTAGGGGTAGGGTTCGCATGTGGCCCCCTACGAAGGGCCCCCTGGCGTACTGTCTGTCGTCCTCTTTGGGCCTCCGTGGGGGCTTCTCGTCGCCACGGTTTCGGACGCGGCTCAGACAACTGGTGCGTGTGGACTCCTGGAAGGGTCTGGGGACCGATGTTGAGCGGGTCTGCCTTCACGGGGCCCTTGTAGGGGGGATGGCCGCGTCTTAGCGACGCCCGGGCCGAGAGAGAGGAGGAGGAGGAACTGTGGAGCTATGGCCTCAGCGCGGGTCCCGAGTGCTAGCTCGGCCGCCTCAGCAACTTCACTCAGGGAATGTCATTCCCAACTTTGGCGGGAGTTCCCTCTCGAGTCTTGGTCGGAGGCTGACACTCAGCACGGAGCCCTCGGAGATTTTGCACTTCAGATGTGCGGTCAGGATGTTTGTTGATAACATGCCGCTCCGCCAGTTCTGGCCCACCGCGCCTCGGTGACACGCTATCCATTTTCCTGTCCCCAGGCGTCCACGTCCCGAGCATCGTCCAGGCATCCTGCCCCGCGGAGCGGCGCGTCACGCCATCCGCTTGAAAGGGATCACGTGTCGCCGGGGCCGCCGCCGCCGCGGCACGCTATCCAAAAGTTCTTGACCGTCTGGGGACGGGCCGCAGTCCGCAGACGAGGCTCGTACACCAACACCAGGCGTGGCCAGGGCCATCCCTGGGCCGTCGGAGTGGAAGTGCAGAACCGGCATGAACATAGATTCTGGGATTCCCGAGCGGAGTCCCCTTCCTCCTCGTCCTCCTCCAACCCTTCCTCCTCCTCCTCCTCCTCCTTCTCCTCCTCCTCCTCCTCGTCCTCCTCCTCCTCCTCCTCCTCGTCCTCCTCGTCCCCCTTTTCTCGAACAACAACTTACCTAAACATAAATGTTCGAAGGTCCACGCAGGTTTCTCGGACAGGCGCTGGGCCCATCTGGCGGCGCTTCCGGCGCCGTACCTAGCGTGCTCCGCGCGCCAGGGAACGGAGGCTCAGCGCGGATCCCAGAAACTCGCGCGAATTTCCGAGAATCAAAAAAGGAACAACGACATAAACATAGATTTTCGGAGCTCCGCACGGATTTCTTGGATCTGCGCTGGGGACCCCTGGCGGCGCCTCCGGCGCCGCCCCCGGCGCGCGGAGCTCCCCGGGGAGGGAGCTCCAGCGCAGATCCAAGAAATCTGCGCGGAGCGCCCAAAGTTTATGTTTATGCAGCTTTTTTTTCTCTATAGAGAAATGCAGTTTTCTTGTTCCGCTGGTGGCCCCTGCGCGGGCGTTTAAGGCTGATTGCCGCCGGCATCGAAGGATCGGCGCTGTCGGAAAGCTGCAATCGCTCAAGCCTGGAAGCTCCGCGCGGGGTCGGAAACCAAGGCCAGCGTCATCGCGACGTGAAGCCGCAGCGCACCACTACCGCCACGCCTGCAGCAATCTGCCACCATCTGCAAATTCGCGCGCTTCTTCACCCACCCTCGGTGTTTCAAAGATGGGGTCCTGAGTCCTGAGGGATGGGGACCCAAGGATAGAATGAGATCCAAGAGTGGATTTACGTTATTCAGGGCACCTCGTCCTTGGGACCCCATCCTTCAGAACCCCATCTTTGAACCACCGAAACCCGTCCCCCCCAACCCCCAGTGGACGAACGCCCTATCTGCGTGGCTTGTGGGCAAGGACGCGATGGGCCACCCGTGGGGGCACGGAAGCAACCGCGCATATCACGCCACTGGAGCAAGACAAACGGCATGAGCACAAATATTCGGAGGTCGGCAAGGGTTTCTTGAGTCGGCGCTGGACCCCCTCCCTGGCGCGCTTAGCGCGCCAGGGGCGGCGCTGGAGGCGCCGCCCTGGGGGCCCATCGCAGGTTCGAGAAGTCCGCTCGAACCTTCGACGTGTTGGGGTTAGTGCCGTTTTTCTTCCTCGTCGAAAAAGGAGCCCCCGGATGCCGAGACCAAGGCGAAGCCGCCAGGGTTGAACAAAGCTGCAGTCCGTGCGTCCCTCCGAAAGTTTCTGTGTGTATGCCGTGTGTTCTCCATGCAGCCGCTGGCCAATTCGCTTCTCGGTGCCCCCGTTCAGCTCTATCGCTGGTGCAGCCAACTCCGCCTCGCTGCCGGCGAAGAAGGTGCTCTCCCTCCAGCCCTGCGCCTCGCAAGCCACGGGGCGCGAAGGTGGGCCGAGCTGGTGAGCAGGGGGTCAGCCCTGCAGCAAGCACGCCAAGGAAGAGGTTTCGGGCCTGCTGCAGGGTGCCCTCCTCCTCCTCCTCCTCCTCCTCCTCCTCCTCCTCCTCCCCCTCCTCTTCCTCCTCCTCCTCCTCCTCCTCCTCCTCCTCCTCCTGTGTCCCCCGCCACCCGCCGGTGTTCTGGGGGCATCCTGCAAGTCTGAGGGTCGACGGAGCAGCGTGGCCCTACGTAGATCTCTTGACAGCGTGGGGCGAACGATCAATTCAGCAAGATCCCTCGTGCTAAGAGTCCCCCCTGCCTTCGAGAAGGTTGGTTTCCCCGATAATGGCCTGCCCCTGCTCGCAGCCCAAGGCGCAGAGAGCTGCCCCCTGGCTGGGCGAAGAAGGAGTCGAGGTCCAAGCCTGGAGTGTTCTACTACGTGAACGAGGCGAAGGTCGAAGAAGAGAAAGCGGCATCAACATTAACTTTCGGAGCTCCGCGCGGATTTACCACATTGGCGTTGCCCTTGGCGCGCGCTCCACGCGCCAGGTAGGGGCGTCCAGCGCTGGTCCGGCAAATCCACGCGGACTTCCGAACATACGTGTTTATGCAGTTTTGCTTTCTTCCGGAAGGGCCTCTCGCAGTTCAACCGACCTGAGGAGTAGACCTTCCAGAGACATTGCGAGCCAGAGGCAGAGAAAGAGAAGGGGAAGGAGGAGGGGAAGGGAGAGGACAAAGCTTTTTCCTCGCATAGGCCGCGTTGCTGCCACTTTGACCGTGGTTGCTGCCATCCCCAACACGTATCTGCATATTTCTGTCGCCATCATTGCTTCGTCGTCCTGTTCATCATCGTCCCTCATGCTATCCCTGTTGCTTCTTATGCTAAGTGCGTGTGCTACTTGTGTTGCTGCTGGTCAACCTGCTTACTCAAACACTCCCTCTCATTTTTCCTGTGGCTCTCCCTCTCATTCTCGCTTTTTTCCTCCGCCTCGTCATCACTCTGGGCTCTTCACACATCCTTGCATTATCTTCCCTCTTCTTACCCCTCGTTCTCCTCCCGCCTCTTCCCCATCCCTTCATCTCCCCCCTTCCGTCCCCCCCTCCCTTCTCTTATGTTTCCTCCTCCTCCTCATCCTCCTCCATTCCTCTTCCATACACATAGCTCCATCTTGTCGCACCCCGAGACGCGTCGGTAGGACGGACCGGGCGGGCCGCCTGACATTTCCTCACCATCTATGACCCTTAAGTTGAAACTTTGCACGCGTTTCACGGATGGAGGGCGGGCCGTTTTTCGAAATGTGGTTCTCGTTTTGGCGCCGCGCACATTCGTCTTAAACAAAATTCAGGGTCGTCACGGAGGGAGGGCGGCTTCTTCTCACAATGTGGCTCTTGTATTAGCGCCGGGTGCATTCGGTTCTTTAAACAAGCCAGATTTCACGGACGGGGGCGGCTCCTTTCAAACAATTTGTGTTGGCTCGTGAGTAGCGCCACGCCGCCACGCGTATTCGTGTTCATAGTTTTCCAAATTAATTTTTTAAGGATTCTCGGGAATCGTGCTTTTGGCACACTGGTGGATCATCAGGGCCTTGCAGTCTCGTTGACTCGCGGTGTTGGAGTCCCAGGAACGGCGTTATGGCACGATTCTGGATCGTCAAGACGCATCAGTAGCGATGATGCGCGGCGTGGACGTCCCAGGACTGGGGCTCTGGCACAGCTGAGGATTTCCGATGGTTGTCTTTCCACGGGGCATATCGGGGGTGGACAGAACCCCCAACAGTGACACGTCGATTAGTGAATTGTCCGGTTTCGGTTCTCGAGAGGGCGCCGCGGCCGTTATTTTCCAGGTTTGCGCCCGCCAGGTTTGGGCCTCAGGTCGTTTTCACTAAACCACGTTTTACTCCGAGCATGTTCGTCAGTCAAAGAATCCTGTATGGGGCTTGTGAAGAGGGAATGTGCAGGGAGGGTTTATTGCAATATCGTGGATGAGAGTCGTGGGTTCACACTGGTCCTCCTCCTCCTCCTCCTCATCCTCCTCCTCCTCCTCCTCCTCCTCCTCCTCCTCCCCCTCCCTGGGTCTTGATCACAGCAGTGCGAGATTGCGACAGCACTGCAGCTGCCGCAGTTTAGCGACGCTAAGATACTGCGACGATCAGCGTGGCACCGAAGGCTTTCTTGAGAGGGCCATCGGAGGCGGAGGTGGCGGCGAACTTCGAAAGCGAAAGGCGTGCGTGACGGCAGGGCTGTAGCGGCACGGGCCCTGCGGCTCAAGATCGCACGAACTTGCACCCTTCGATGGTGCATGGCCTCGGCCTGGGTTGCACCGCGAGCTCAGGTGCTGAGCTCGCCGCGTGCAGCCCGCTGCGTGCCCAGACTGAGCACGCGGCCGAGAATGCCGGCTGCCAGAGAGATGCCAGATCTGAGCGTCAACGAGAGCGCTGGGCGCATCGCGCCAGATGCGGCCGCAGACAACCCCCCGCTGCTCGGTGGCCCTGAAACAGCGTGGTCACCTCACCGCGCGTGGTGAGTCAGTGGGGACTCGGGGCCGCTGCGACCTCTCCAGGGATGTCTCGAACGACTGGGGCCTCTGGCGTCCCAAAACCGTGCGGTGACGGACCGTGCGACGAGGTCGCTATGGATTCCGAGGGCGCCACGTGCTGCGTCACCACGCGTCGTTTGGGGGGCCCGAAGTGGCTGAGGCGACGCGCTGCAGGGCCGCACTTTTTATATTTTGTTTTCACGCCAGCACAGCGCATCACCACCCACCAAGCCACCCCAACCCAACCCGAAGGCCTCAATTTGCCATCCATTTCCAGGAGGGGGGGCGTCGGGGAACCTTGAAAAAACACATGGAACCCGTACCCCCCCAAACCCGAATTTCGGGTCAAATTCGGGTCTTCGGGTTGGGTTGGGGCGGCCTGGTAGGTAGTCAGTGCAGGGGTGCGCAGCGCGCCTGTGATGCCCGTCCACGGCGAGCAGCCCCGGAGCAGTCCAGCAGCCGTCCCTTCCTCGTCACCGCCCCCGTCAGCACCAGATCCCTCCATCCTCCATCCTCCATCCTCCTCTCTGCCATGCCGCCCCCCCTCTCTCTTCCATCCTCCTCCCTCCATTCTCCCTCCTCCTCCCCCTCCTCCTCCTCCTCCCCCTCCTCCTCCTCCTCCTCCTCCTCCTCCTCCTCCTCCTCCTCCTCCTCCATCCTCCATCCTCCATCCTCCATTGTCCATCCTCCATCCTCCATCCTCCATCCTTCTTCCTCCATCTCCTCCTCCTCCTCCTCCTACTCCTCCTCTTCCTCCTCCTCCTCCTCCTCCCCCTCCTCAGTCCTGCCCCCTCCTGTCCTCATCATCCTTCCTCCCTCCTCCTCCTCCTCCTCCTCCTCCTCCTGCTCTTGCGCCCTGCCTCCTTATTGGAGACGCCTGCGGCGATCCACCGCCGACCCCTGCCCTCGTGGACGATCCTGCCCTCGAGCCCTTGCGGCTCAAGCCGCCGTGGCTCCAGGCTCGGGCGGCGGTCCGCACGGCAGCGGCGGCCCGCGCGCCGCGGCGGGCAGTGCTCGCGCCGCCTCGGAGTGCCACGGGTCGTTGGCTTGGAATGCGGGCAAGCTTTCTATCCATATCCAGTACGTCTTGGACTTTCTAGGAAGGGGTGCCCTAAGGCCGAGGCGCACTGGATACGGATACAAATGGAGCCTCCAGGGGGCAAGTTTATCCATATCCAGTGCGCCTCGGGTTTCTGCGGAAGGGAGCCCGGCACTCCATGCTGCAGTGGATATGGACAGAAGTGCTGCCCGCATGGAATCCCACGCGTCCGCCGCAACGGACCGCATGGCGAGCATGGCGAGGCAGTGCCTGGCAAGACCTTGGGCCGATGATTGCCTGCTGGTGCTGCCGTGCTGGGATGCCACGGTTTGAGTCTGGGCTGGGAGCGATAGGACGCATCAAGCTGTCCCAAGATGATGTCAAGACGCTCCAGGACACACACACACACAAAACAAAGGCAGTGCAGCACGGATCACCGTGCCATGCAACGCCATCACGTCGCAGACTAAGCCCCACGTGCTGCTGGCGGAACTCCGCTGTGCCACGCAACGGGCACTGCGCGATGGGTAACGCGCTGTGGCTCCTGCTCGGCGTGCCTGGAGTTCTTGCCGAAGTTTGAACTCTGCTGGTGCCACAATGCTTGGGCCACGAAGGAAGGCACCGTGGAGATTCTGGTGCACGGCTCCAGCTGGAGCGCCGGCGCGCACAGTCTTTCGTTGGAGTGCCACTTGGAGTGACAGCTCAGTGGTGGGGCGCGGTCTGGTCTACGGTAGCTCTCCCGTGGGAGAACGCAAGCGGCTGCCATCCGCGCGGCCCCCCGAGGCTACAGTGACGTTCCTACAGTTTTGCCCATCCCCGTGGACGTGCGACCCCCTTTTCCCCCGTGGAGTCCTACAACAGGACGTCCGGCGGCGGCGGAGAATGTTTCGGCCCACACCCAGATTCTCTTTGAATCTCATATGCTCGTCACCGTGTTCAAACTTACTCCGCACCTTTTCTCACACGGAAAAGCTCACTCTGCCGCTGGGGGTAATTTCCCCCCGTGTCTTCATGCTACAAAAATAGCTTACCCCACATCCTCCTAAACTTACTCCGCGCCGTTTTGTCACGACTGCGAGCGATTTCCGCGCTCGGGGACACTTCGCCTCGACGCAACATCGCCTGAGGATGGGTTCGCGCCGCGCATCTCGATTCACATGCGCACTGTGGCAGAGTGATCGCAAACGCTAGCAACGGGTTAGTATTGCTCGTCGCACGTGCGGACTCTGACAGCTGCCTGCTACCTTGGCCGTCTCAGAACGCTCGCCACGCGGGCCAGCGGCCATCACAGTGCATCCGTTTAGCAGGCATTTCTTTTGAGAGCCAGAAAGTTGCGCGCATCACCATGCTCTATCCAAGCGAGGCTTGGCTGGTGGCGTTTGCTGCTCCAAGTGTGATTCCCCTCGCAGTCCAGGCTTTTTCCTTCTGCTATGCAGTTATCTTAGGAGCTTGGACTGATTAGAGCAGATCGCCCTGGTTGGCAGTTTTTTTCCGCAGTGGCGCTCCAGACTTAGGGTGCACGCTATCAGGTAACAAGGCGCCGGCCACTCGTGGCCGACAATCGATGTAAGACTCGTTAGTTTGCGGTTGAATCCAAATCCCTGGCCGTGTCGCTGGGACGTCTGGAGCGAAGCCATGGCGTCCCAAGCGAAAAGCTCGCTTGGGGCCCTGTTGGGCGCCATCGGGGGCATCCCTCTTGGGCCGTCTTGAGGCCCTCTTGGGTCGTCTCGGGGTCTGTGTGCAGTGCGGATGCCGATGCCGACTCTGTGCTGCGCTGCGCTGTGCCGTGCGGTTCAGCTCTGCCTACGCTATGGCATGCCGTGCTACGCCATGGTGTGCGACACATGCCCGACAGTGCACACTGCCAAACATGAATGCCACCTTGCGTTGGACGGTGCTACTTTCGGGGACTCTGGCTTCGGGTGTCGCGCCGCGGCTTCTGGCCCACCACTTGGCATCGCTCGGACGTGTGCATGGTTCCTTCGGCGAGCACCGTCGATGAGCATCCTTGATCATTTGGCGAAAAAACCACACGAAACCAAGCAAAAACACAGGGAATGGACGCCCGAGCGATGGCGAGCCCACGGCCTGGCCCCCATGGCGTCAACGTGCCGAGCGTGTCCCATTCCCC